GGACATGTGTTACGTATGCCGAACCATCGTTTGCCGAAGAGAGTGCTGTTTTCCATGCCCAACTCAGAGTGGCGTAAACAGAGAGGTGGCCAACCTTTGACTTGGCGGAGGAGTATGAAGGAGATCACGAAACGCTTGGGTGCTGCCGGAATCCTCTTTCAGCTATACCACCCTTCCGGTGCCTAACTACCATGCCACCCGAAGGAAGCACGTGGGCTAGGATACCGCCGGGTTGCCGAGGCCTAGACAGGGGAAGTCGAGAGGCAGAGGCCGGGTTCGAACCACGGACCTTCCGGTCAGTGAATTCGCGCTCTTACCACTTGAACCATCTCGCCGGAATCCTCAGGTATCAACCTTCAAGCCTCGATGTCCGGTCTATGTGGTTGCCCTCAACATCCGCACTTTGTAGCAAGCAGAACGACAAGCTGTTCTTACTCTCACACTGGCCTCGCTTGACATTGATGTGTGCTGTGTATGAGAAACAAGTATTCACGATGCAGTCACATTGGATGAGCTAACGGCAAGATCACTCTCCACTTGTTTCTGACTGAGAACCTCCGGCGATCCAGAGGCTGCTGCGGCAAGATGTGCTGGTATCGCTTTAGCTGGTCAACCTTTGACCTAACAGAGATTATGAAAGAGATTAGGAGATAGTGTCGGTACAACTGTGATTCCAGAATGGGGTCCGCATGATCCACAACCGGCATGTTTGAGGGCTCTGCAGTATATAGTTAATAGTCGATGTGATGTCATTTTCTATCCAGGTTGCCCGAATAACTTTCTTTAGGTGTAGAGATCTTGAAGTGATTGCGGTAGTATAACACCAAGTCCGTCGCACACACTTTTATTCTTTTCTTCACAACAGACTTTCAAGTAAATCATGTTTGTACGGCAGTGAAGCTTTATTGTTGGTAGTGATATTTTATTTCCGACGATGGTAATGATTATTAGCAATACCCGACAGTTGCACAATATGACGCTACCTTGGTGGGACATATCTGCTAAATCCCTTCTAGTTCAGGTAATGCTTGAGGTGCGAGATCCAGATATTGCAAGCTTTTCGAAGAGGTGGTCTCTCCGGTGTTCTGTATTTCAATGGCAGCTCCAAGGTACCATCGAAAAACTGTTTGTTCTGGGAGGGTGGTCTCCCTAGAGGGCGAAAACCTTAAAACGATCTTCCGATTTCCCCTTACTTCACTGACTCATAATGGCCGCCATCTATCTACTTGTGCTAGTTTTCAGTGAATGTCTAACAGGCCGTAGATCAGCCTACGACACCATTTTATCTACTTCGTTTTTCTCCTGCAGCCTGGAAGTCATTCTCAGAGCTGACGCTGTCGATCTTGCCCAACCAGGCGATCGCTGTGAATTTATTGGAACACTCATAGTAGTCCCGGATATCAGTCAGTTAGCCACTCCAGGTAACCAGTTTTACTGTTCATGCCTTCTTGTAGAATCATTTCGAATTTTACGGACCACAGCGGTGGTCAATAGCAATTTCGTCGACACTCGGCTTGTGAAATCTTATGCATCATAGGAATTCATTCGGTTGGCATACCCCTTCGTTGCACTTCGTTGAAAACTATATCACACTCTAGAGTTGATACCTGGGGCTTTGGGTCCTGTATTTTCTTTTTCGCAGGCCATCGTCGTTATTCATTATTAGCAGTTTTCTCGGAATAATTGGCTTGGGGTGAGTTAACTTGATGCTGGTCAGGTGGCAAATAATCTGTTCGCCAACCTAACTACGCGCTGAAGTTTCGTCTAGTGGTAACCAAGCGTTTTCAAGTGAGTTGCGGAGCTCGGTGAATGGACCAGCCGCCATCTGATCAGAGACATCTCACTAGTTAGGGTGCAAACTTACTGACCGTACGCTCCGTGGTTCGAACCTTGCGTATCGCTCGCCACTGCCTAGGCAGCTTGTATTTGAGCCTTCGAGTGGCATGGCAGGTAGGCACCGAAAGGTCGGCCACTCGTTATTTTCGGTTTCACAGGAACGCGTTCTCTTCATAAACATGCATATTGCTACTCATATACCGTATGTATGTATTTCACATCTCAACGTCAACTGCCTTAATCATTGTTTTTCTTTCCAATATTCGTTTTCAGTTTGTTTTTCGAGGAGCTGTTATCGCTCAAATGCTACATTTCAGCCCGAAAAATTCTAATAGAATAGTTTTGTTGTGGCATCCGACGATGCGTAACTTAAAGGAAACTATTGTTGAGTTTCTGCCTGATTAATCAGGCCAGTCAGATGCTAATGCAAGATTAGAAATGAATCTGTACCGTATTTTTGGTCAAAAGCTTATCCCTGGACTTTCGCAAGCGCACCTCTGAGTGTCTTCAACAGTGAAATTTCATATCCAAAACGACGACCGGATTGTTTCACACAGTCAAATGATATCTTGCCATACCGTATCATACTCACTTATGTCTTTTTTCCAGTGTCGTGATCGGTTATCAGTATTTTTTCATCATCTTATCCCATTTTTTGTGGACATGCGGCAAACAACGAGCCCATATTTGGATGCACTTCTGTGTGCAAGCAGTGAATGTCTAACAGGCCGTAGATCAGCCTACGACACCATTTTATCTACTTCGTTTTTCTCCTGCAGCCTGGAAGTCATTCTCAGAGCTGACGCTGTCGATCTTGCCCAACCAGGCGATCGCTGTGAATTTATTGGAACACTCATAGTAGTCCCGGATATCAGTCAGTTAGCCACTCCAGGTAACCAGTTTTACTGTTCATGCCTTCTTGTAGAATCATTTCGAATTTTACGGACCACAGCGGTGGTCAATAGCAATTTCGTCGACACTCGGCTTGTGAAATCTTATGCATCATAGGAATTCATTCGGTTGGCATACCCCTTCGTTGCACTTCGTTGAAAACTATATCACACTCTAGAGTTGATACCTGGGGCTTTGGGTCCTGTATTTTCTTTTTCGCAGGCCATCGTCGTTATTCATTATTAGCAGTTTTCTCGGAATAATTGGCTTGGGGTGAGTTAACTTGATGCTGGTCAGGTGGCAAATAATCTGTTCGCCAACCTAACTACGCGCTGAAGTTTCGTCTAGTGGTAACCAAGCGTTTTCAAGTGAGTTGCGGAGCTCGGTGAATGGACCAGCCGCCATCTGATCAGAGACATCTCACTAGTTAGGGTGCAAACTTACTGACCGTACGCTCCGTGGTTCGAACCTTGCGTATCGCTCGCCACTGCCTAGGCAGCTTGTATTTGAGCCTTCGAGTGGCATGGCAGGTAGGCACCGAAAGGTCGGCCACTCGTTATTTTCGGTTTCACAGGAACGCGTTCTCTTCATAAACATGCATATTGCTACTCATATACCGTATGTATGTATTTCACATCTCAACGTCAACTGCCTTAATCATTGTTTTTCTTTCCAATATTCGTTTTCAGTTTGTTTTTCGAGGAGCTGTTATCGCTCAAATGCTACATTTCAGCCCGAAAAATTCTAATAGAATAGTTTTGTTGTGGCATCCGACGATGCGTAACTTAAAGGAAACTATTGTTGAGTTTCTGCCTGATTAATCAGGCCAGTCAGATGCTAATGCAAGATTAGAAATGAATCTGTACCGTATTTTTGGTCAAAAGCTTATCCCTGGACTTTCGCAAGCGCACCTCTGAGTGTCTTCAACAGTGAAATTTCATATCCAAAACGACGACCGGATTGTTTCACACAGTCAAATGATATCTTGCCATACCGTATCATACTCACTTATGTCTTTTTTCCAGTGTCGTGATCGGTTATCAGTATTTTTTCATCATCTTATCCCATTTTTTGTGGACATGCGGCAAACAACGAGCCCATATTTGGATGCACTTCTGTGTGCAAGCATGGCATATGGCTACGTTCCACACTTCCGGAAGCCGGTTCGAAACCATATGGTGGTCTACTCTTCGGTTTGCTTTCACACCCTAGTTACAAGACTTAAGTCCCAGTTATTCGCGGGAAATTCAGCGTTGAAGGCCCTATGTCATCCACGCAGGGCTGGATAAATTCCGAACATTAAAAAGGGTGGTATTCTCAGAATAGATATCTCTGGTGGTTGCAAGCGGCCTATGCATCCGTCATATCTGCATGGTTGATGCAGAAGTTGGTCATTGCATCCGCTGTGTGAGATTGATCATCCCAGTATCAAGAACGACTTGCCTATCTGTTCTTGGAAGGGGGCTCAGAGGCACAGTGTCGCGTCTAATCTACCATCAGAGAAAAACGTAAATATTGCGCCTCATCCTCGGCTTCAATGGTAAGGGCAAACTAGTGCGGCAGTCGTGATGTGGAACAGAGACTAGTTGCATTCACTTAATTCCCCGTTGGAACCCTGACAGATAAACGCAAAATCAATCTCAGAGACATCGTTTTTCTGCTAAATCCAAGACTGTGGGTCTCTCACTTTCTATAGCAGTGTAATGACAGGTCCATATAGTTTTCCTTTTGAGTCCGATCGTAGACGCGGTTTACGCTTGCGCAGTTTAATTTTGGGTGTCGTGCAGCTCAGCCCGTTCACACAGACTAAGTGCTATCGATGATTATGATGATCTCCATGAACAGCGATGTTGTCGGTTGGAAGCCGGCTTCTGTATTACCAAGTAGACAAGAAAAGCTCCATCAAGAAAAATGACCTATGAGGCACCTGCTTATCCAACCACCTAATCTGTTGTGAGTCCGCGATTGAGTCATTGTGATGCAGCGTTTCCGTTTAAGGGACAAAGGATCTAACGATATGTTGATTCTAGTTTTCGGGATATTTCATTTACTGTTGTTTCTTCGTTCATCTTTTCTGTGGATAACTTGTAATATGATCACTATAGTTTGCACTTCATGACATCTTCATATCAGGCACTCGTTCACTAGAGTCCAAACCAATTCGTGGCAGGGACAATCAAGAGATCGGAGGAATAACTGGACTAAAAGCGCTCGGTGTTCGTGAGCTTTCCTATAGGACTGCGTTCCTGGCATGCACCGTTGTCCCTTCGAATGGTAGAGTAAGTTGGACCTCGTGGTAATTTCGGGTACCTGGTCCGTGTATTCTCTCTGCATTTTCCCCTACGGTCATCGTTTTCTAGGAGAATAAATTTGATACCTGGAAGAATCCAACCTCTAATTTTTAGAACAGTTATTTGTACTTCGGTCAGAGCGTTTTTGTGGCTATATCCCATCTCTCACAGCACCATCGTGTTTCATATACACTTTTCCTAGTACCTCCCATCAGATGAATTTGAAGATTCCGAGGTCATGTCGTATGAAGTCATGTCCAAGCGACTAACGAGTGCAGAACTGGATACAATCTGCAAAATGAGCCAAGATCGGCGTCTCTTTAGCAATCTATGTAATTCTCTGTTCCCAACAATTCATGGCAATGAAGAAGTGAAAAAGGGCATTTTGTTGATGCTTTTCGGAGGTGTTCCAAAGGTGAGTTGAGTTAGTATGTCGGTTTTGTTTTGTCATCCTCTGTCAATTCCCAGTTAACTTTTGATTAAAATCCTACATTCGTTTGGGTGAGATTGAAAACACCGAAAAACCACATATTCGAAGCAAGCCGCTTGAAGCACCATATTACCTTGAATGTTGAACCGCCAGAGGTTCCTGTCGCTTCTGTCCGCGTAACTATCTCCGCAGATTTGTTCAGTGGTTAACCGATATCGGCCATGCTCTCGGAATCTCTCCTGCAGTTGTCTGACTGTTCAGCCTCAAAACGATGGAAGCCAACTACACCTAAGGTCGACATTGCGCAGACAAAGTGACAGTGAATCTGCAGTGTCATTCTTCATGGCTCAGCGGGTCAATAGGCCTACAAAAGAAAAGAAACCATATGGCATTATTGCGGCATGGTTGATTTAGCTACGAACTGAGAAGCGCTGTCTGTTAGTAGAAGGTCGGATGTAATTCCTTATGTTGGATCTGTTTCAAAAGATTCCTCTGAACGTAGTGAGTTAGTTGGCAGTGCAGTCGGTCAGTCTGAAAGTCTCAACAGCCAGGAGCTCTGAATGTTACACCCTCAGAGTAGAGGGTGCAGGACAGATTCATAACGTCGTGGATAGGTGTAAGGTCACAGCTATCATGTAAAAGAGCGACTGTTCACAAAGAACCAATCAAGACCGAGCTGTTGGATTGTACCAGGAGACCACCAGAGGCATTATCACCTGTATAGTGAGTGCGAGTTAGGTTGCTAAGTACTTAGCAACCAGGATAAGCCATTCGGGATAAGGCAAGTGGTATCAGCATAGTCCTACCAGTGCAACTCAACCACGGCTGCCTAAATTGCACATGTCAGGTGACACCGTAAGATATGATGGACCATGTAGGTCCCTGATTACAGGAACTAGCCAAGTGCTTGGCTAGCATTTGCAGACTTCTCGGGGAATCAGTCACGCGTTACTAATTCCTACGAGTTTGCAGAAGCAAACGGAAGGCAGCGGTGTTCATATCACCAATCTCTATCCCGATTATCTTACTGTTGTTGGTGGCAGGCCATTTTCAGGCTATCATCAAACCCCTTCCCTTTTTTATTCGTTTTTTATAAGGAATTCGTGTGGACTAACACGCTCGTATGGCCGTGGGGCTGTGTTGCCAACGTTGATATACGATTTTACCAACAAAGGGTCCTATTTGGAGATAAGTGATGTTCTTATGTTTTTTTGACCATCGATCTGATTGGTACAGAAGCTCCTGAGAGACACTTTGGAAGACAACACAACGAGAATGGTCTCAGCCCTCAGTAGCAGAAATATTTGAGCGTGTAAAATTATGCCTGAATCTCGACATTTCGCCTCCAATGTCCCGGCTTTGGTTCATATATATATATATA